ATATATATATATATATATACATAAGTTTAGGTCTCATATATATAAATACATAAGAATTGAGTGTAATGTATGTAAATCCTCTTTTTAAAATTAAGTGTGAAACTAACACATTATCATAACTTGTATTTTGAAGAGTAAAACTTTTTTTTTTTTAATCTTATTGATTTGAAGTATATACTAATTACACAATATTAAGAAAAAAAATTGCTCATTATAAGACATTAAACTAAATTTAAATTTAGCAACCGCACTTTCATTAAAGTTTAGTCCTTTTAAACCAAAAAAATTACCATAGTAATTCAGGATGGTCGGGATTGCCATCATAAAAATAGACGCTTGTTTTTGTCTAATTTCACTTTTTGCATTTATATCACCCAAATCTTTCATGTGATACAACAACAAAAAATAAGTGAAATACACATTGCCATGCAAAGGTATATATATATACATTAAACTAAATTTAAATTTAGCAACCACACTTTCATTAAAGTTTAGTCTTTTTAAACCAAAAAATTACCATAGTCATTCAGGATGGTCGTGATTGCCATCATAAAAATAGACGCTTGTTTTTGTCTTTTGAGTTACTATAACATTTTGCTCATGATGGCTCTTTTGAAGCCTACGAAGTTGCATATTAATCTTAAAAAATTGAGTTTTAAGTGGGAGTTTTGTTTTGAAGTGAAGCTAAGATTAAGTGTCTAAAGGGTATCAATGTATTGAAAATCAAGTTTTTCATAGTTATGATGGATAACTATGTTAGAATTTATGAAAGAATTCTTACATATTATAATGTCATTGCCTATGTTGAATTAGAAGGTTGTGCACTTTGGATTGTAGACTATAAATATTACTTTAATCCTCATATTACAAAATATAGGTTTATCTACTATTATTTATGATTGAATGATAATTAATCCTTATAGAAAAAAAAAACCTCAACCTTTTGATCATATTAATTTAATGGATAATTCAATAGTGATAATCTTCAATTACAACTGGCCTTGATCAAATATTATGAAGTTATTCCATATGCTAGGTTACAAATGTATGACATGTGATGTGGGTCTGGTAAAGTCCATTATTTTATAATAACCAATAAATCTAGACATTTAAACATGACTTATTCTAAATCTAATATAATTTATTTATTCTTAAGAAATAAATAAATTTGACAAATAGTTATTAAGATATGATTGGTTCATTATATTGAAACGTGTAAACTTGACCAGCAATACACATATAATAATCATATATTTAGCATGTATTTTAAGGATTATTTCAATAAGATTGTCTCACTTATTGTTATGCCATATAATTATTCAAGCAATTTCTCTTTACAAAGATTTTTTTTGTAATGCACAAGTTGTATAGTCATGATTTTAAACCTTGTGTCCTATTCATGATTAATATGATGTATTATTTTATGATCTTGAATATATGAATTATGTATTAAAATTATTTATCTTTCCAAGCCTTACAACTTACCAAAAATTATGTTGGTTGTTGCTTTTGGTAAAGAAAATAACATAATTCAGCCTCAATGAGGATCATTTTCTTAGTTTTATACATCTTGTGCTTAATTTAGAGGTAAGATATGAAGCATGATAAGGTAATGTATGAGATGAAAGTTTATTGTTGTGAATGTAAACTTTATTATTTATTAGAGACTTTATAGTTTAATGAATAAAATAGTTTATGCTATTATTTGTGTAATTAAGTAAGTTTAATTTATAAGATAACTATTGATTTCAAATTTGTGGTGAGTTTAGTCTGCTTTGTTCTGGTGATTGAAGACATCACTCAGTTATGATGTGTAGAGTTCAAAAATATGTGTTGGGGTTATATTCAATCAATTGATTATATTTGTTTTTGTCACATCCTAAGTTTAATTGGGAGGTCTTATGTTGTGATGTTGCATTTTCCCATAAAATTGGTAGTTTATCCGCCCAAAGTTGTATGAAGACAAAGCGAAGCGTAATCATCATAAGAAATTTGTATTAAATTAGCATAAGGTCTAACTATAATCGATTAACACGAGTTGAGTGAAGCAAATTATATATAGAGCATAGAACTATCAACACATTGGCCAAGTTTAATATTATTTGAATCTAAAACAAACTTTGAGTTAGTGCAATCAAATCACTTCCATGCTTCAATATCTAATGAATGACAAAAAATGGTTGGATCTTCTCTCAAGACATTGTCATATAACATAATTGAGTTAGCAAAATAAATATTATATTTAATCTTGTAATACAATGTAAGTAGTTTGACTTCTCTAATGAATCCCTTTATATTTAGTCTTATACTTTAAGTTTTTTACCTATTTGACCCATAATATTTGCATTCATTTTCACATCTCATACTTGTGATAGCGTAATATATCCGCAAACAATATATCTTTTGTGCTATAAAAATTAATTTGGGTTTTTGAGACACATCATAATTTATTTTTATTTTTAGCATTCTTATCACAACATATACTTTATAATAGTTTTTAAGCAAGAAGTATCATATATTATGTCATGATATGCAATAGTTTGTTCATCACTCATGTGTGACTTGGGGGTTCGTTTTCATCTTGTACATGCTACCGTCAAACATAACCTTTCATTAATTAAGATATGCTGCATAAACCTTCCCAAGCAATACACATTGATTCATAACTTCACATGCACCTACAACACCATACCTTGGATGAGGATATATTGGCAAAAATATTGGATTTAAAAAATAATTGTGACATCATGAAAGAATTAGTTATCAAAATCTAGGCAATGGTTAGATGTCGTAATTTCACGAAATAGTTTAACATCTTAGTCGACCAGACTAAAAGTAAATTTAGATCGGAGATTAACCAACAACAAGGCCTATAAAAGATCGAGGAATACACTTAACAGAAAAATATTATGGAGAAATCACGAGAAATCCATTGCTTCCTACATAACAGAGACACGAAGAAAATTTAGCCGCTCATGACAGAGAAAACTATAGCAAAAATTACCATGTGAGAATCCATTATAAGAAATTGTTAAGTCCGCAAAGTCAGCAAACTTTCCTCTCATATATAGTCTCACAGCTCACAAAGCAAATAAAAAACTCTCCCTATCAGGTTTTCGTTAAATGAGGAAAACAACTGTCAAGAGAGCTCTCAAAATCTCCCACAAACTCTCATCTTTCAGTCTGCAAGCCCTCTCTGATGCAGAACTCTTTGTCCGAGTCTCCGAGAGGCCAAGAAGACCTCTCTTATGACAAATGCATATTTATATTTAGTTTTTTTACATTAGAGATCCAAAATAAACACCCAATCTCTCCAAATCCATCAATAGGTCTAAAATTGGCAAGAAATCCCACAAAAGATGAGTTATGAATGTCCCGCAGTGTTGCCACGCTAGACCCCAGCATGGTCGCACCCTAAACTAACGTGGTCATGCCAGTTCTGACGCGATCATGCCCAGATCAGGCGTGGTCATGCCAGACATCACTATATGCGCATTTTGACCCTGTTTTGCGTGTTCGACTCCTATAACCTGCACAACATCAAGAAAATCATTTTCAAGTGTAAATCTATGATAAATAAGTGAAAATAATATTAAAATATAGAGAAAAATATAGATAAAAGCACACAAAATTGAAGCATGTCACCTCTTTGTTGTTGCTGCTGCAGTTGATTGTCAAGAGTATTTTCTTAAAATAAAAATAAGTTTCCAAAATAATTAATTTATTAATTCAATAACTTAATAAAATATCAAACTTGAAAAATAAAAGTATTAAACGGACTAGCATCAGTTTAGACCATAGATCCAACTAAACTGACACTACTGGACTTAGTGCTTACAAATGCGAAGATGGAGGGAAGGTGGACCTATGCAAAAGAAACAGAAAGTGATAGCGATAGCTAGCGAGCATAGCTAGCGAGCAATTGAGAGGGCACACAACGCCGAGCACAGATTAAGGCGAGCGCGCGAGCGAGCAAGGGCAGAGGGAAAGCCAGCAAAGGTGTCGCCACATGTGAGGAAAATGTCGAGAGCTTCTTCTTTCTATATTTGTGGGTAAACCCCTCCTGAGTGTTGTTTATTATTTAAGGCGGTGTTTGGCTGCATCTAGGGCTGTAAACGAGCCGAGCTTGAGTGAGCTCAGGCTTGGCTCGTGTTCGGCTCGTTCCAAATAGCTCGTGTTCGAAATCGGCTTGTGAACAGTGTGTTTGTGTTCGGCTCGATTTAAATATTCGTGTTCGTGTTCGGCTCGTGTTCGGCTCGAAATTGGCTCGTTAAACTTAAATTGAGAAAAATAGATGTAAAGTGTGGGATTCGAACCCGGATCAAATATATACAAAAGAAGACACAAACCACATTGCCACATGAGGTGTTATGATTTAAACATAGACATAAATATATATAATATATTATTATCTAAATAATATATGTAATATATTGTTATATAAAAAGTTATATAATTTTTTTTTCGAGTCATTTCGAGCCGAAAACGAGCGAATAAAATGTTGTTCGTGTTCGGCTTGTTCACATTTCGAGCTTAAAAATTTGTTCATGTTCGGCTCGTTAGGCTTAACGAATTAGCCGAAAGCTGCTTAACGAGCCGAACACGAGCTGTTCACGAACAATGAGCCAAATTGACAGCCCTAGCTGCATCGCCGGAGTTGTGTTAAATAAGATTTATCAAATATGGTAAATCCGACGAATCTTTACCTGTATGAAGGTTGCAAGCAACGGGGGCGTAAATCCAATAAATCTATCTCTCAATTGAATTTATTAAATCCAGGCATTGCTGTAGAAAAAGACGGAACGGTAAGAAATCTAATTTGACAGAGCGTTGGATTTAGTTGTCATTTTTTTTTTGGTGTTTGGCCGGATTTAATTTAAATCCATGGCTAAGTCCCTAAAGATTATTTAAGATATTTATGTTAGGATTTTCCAATTGTGTATATATATATAAATATGAAAAAAATCTTAAATTTCTGCAATTAAGTTTAAAGTGAAATTAGCCCTAATTTGTGTTTATAGATTACATCCTTGAATGAATGCATGCTAACACATACAAGTCTACTAAGGATCTTATTATGTGAAGTTTAGGTTCATTGTATAACTTATATGTTTAAGAAAATAATATAAGTTTTATTTGGTGAAAATGATTGGTTATTAAGGTATATAATTAATAGCTTAAATCATATATAGCCTTAATTTATAATTTATAACAAAACTATTTAGTTATGTATAATTAAGAGAATAATTATTAAGATTTTATTAATTATAAATATTTTTTTTGTAAAATTAAATAATCAAAATTCTTGAACTAAGTCAAGATATTAAATTCTTCATGTGGAGAGAGTGATGAATTATTGCTTAAAGACCAAAAATAGACGTAAAAGATATTCTTTCTATATGGTTTAGTCATATTATATATTAGTGCCTCTTTTGTTGCATTTGGATGTAGATAAAATTAGATTCTTCCTAGATTTTTGTTTGATATTGACCTTAGGGTTAACAACTGTGATGTAAACTCCATCTAACAGTCTGTTCCCACCTTGGTACTCTAGGCTCTTAGGCCGAGTCGTGACGAAAACTAGCTCGTTGCTCGTACAAAGTGGGGTATCTTTAATGGGGCTAAATAGTAAAAATAGATGCTAAATAGCTAAGAGAATCAAACAATCCTTTAATATATTAGTTTTCCCAAATGTTAGATAAAATTAATTCATAAAATAGACTATATAAGTTTTTGTAAGGGCATGAACTTGAAGAATAATATCTTACTGAATAAATTAGCTACTTTCCATTATATATGAATCCAATCCTAAGTAAGCAATCAAGTTTAAATTTAATCATATATTAATCTTAAACTCGATCTTTTACAAACAACATGTAAAATCGGAAAGGTTCAAATCAACTAATTAAATCTCTAGCGATGGCCGAGTTGATAGAATATTTTAACTGAATGAGTCTATTTTCAAAATATATGTTTCAACAAATATCTAAATAAATCAAATTATTATAATTCTTGAACCAGATCGTCTGTAGGCGAGATAGAGTTAGCATGGTTCATATACAATATTTGTTAATCTTAAACCCAATCCTTTACAATTAAGATATAAAGTTGACAGGATTCAAATCATGTAACAAAAATGGACGTGTTGATTGAAAATTTCAATAAAAAACTTTTAAAACTAAATAAAGATTTTCAAATCAAAATTCTAAAAGCAAATAAATCAAAATATGTCAGTTGAAATTAATCACTTAAAAGACTTAAAGTAAGCCTCATTCACCCTCCATAATAGTTTGTTGTGAGTGACAAATTTTTTATTAACTTCGGCTCACAAAAAGCAAATGTCACATCAAGCGTATCACTACATTTACACTCAAAGTGATCTCACACTGATAAGAATGCAACTCGAGTCATCAGTCTGTATAGTTTGACGCATGTGCTCAATAAAAAGTAACAGTTATGATCAAAACCGTCAAATAACATCATTTTATTTTGGTCACGGATGCAGTCGGTATATTCATCAATGGTTTTCTACCTTTTGAGTTATAAACTATAAGAGTACAATTGATTGTCACAAAATATTCTCTTAGCTAAAGTAGACTTAAATTTCTCTCCTTAGACAAACATTCACCCGAGATCTACAAGAGTTTTTTAGACGATGCAACATATGATTGCTGACAATGATCTTTCAGTCAGGTTGACTCAACTATCTCCTCCAAATAGGTAGATCAGGGACCATGACGATCGGGGACGACGAAATCATGGAATCTTGATATGGTTAGTCATCATTTCCTCCACTCGCTTTAAACTCAAGGTGATAAATTTTATAATCTAAATCCTAGGGTTGCTGCTACTCTATATTGAATATTCAGTCTTTAATGAGTAGCCTTAATCGAAAGCTCTCACCTATTATCAAGAGGAGCAATTAAGAATAGGAGCTTGCACCTACGAGAAACCTCAAATCCTAGATCAAAAAGTCCTCACAAATTGAGGGTAAATCTCTGGGTAGCATCTTATCTACAATCCAATTTGTCTTATGCAAATTTGACACGAAAAACCAAATCAAAAACTCTCAATAACAACTTTGAGGCATTGAATTTCGAAGCCCGCAACAATCTAAGGCCACTCTAATTTTATCTGCCACTTGAGCTACTCCAACCCTTTCACGGAATTTTGGTTTCACATTTTGTCTCTAAGTGTAAAAACACTCATCCACCTACTCTAATTTTATTTGCCACTTGAGCTACTCCAACCCTTTCACGGAATATTGGTTTCACATTTTGTCTGTAAGTGTAAAACCACTCATTTACCTAAGTATTCACATCTCAACAACACTTAATTTTATATTTCTCTTTTACAGGCCAACATTCTACGTCACAAAGCATTGCAGGTCTCACCACCGGTCTCACCACCATCTTAAAAAACCATCTTAAAAAAATTTCCTTCTAAGTCTAAGCAATATTTTTTTATAACACAATAGGTCCTCGATGCATTCTTCCACTTTAACTATCCAACTTGATTTCTACTAATAACATCCCCATCTATATCACCATCACTTCGAACAAACCCAAGATATCTAAAACGGTCACTCATTTTAATGACTTAATCATTCATTATCACAACCCTGCCACTAGATCAACTATTATTAAAACTCAGTCAATGTATTCAATTTTAGGTTCTTGACTGACTTTCAAAAGAGAAAAACACTAAGATTAGCCAAATTTTTTGGGTTCATTGTAGCCTAAGCTCAACTAAATGTATATTAGTTTTCGGTTAAATAAATCAATTTTCAAATTTATGTTAGTTAAATTTTATATTGCATCATGCTTTTTAAGTTTATAATTAGCGTGGCAGAAGCAACAAAATATCAGTAACAAAAAGATATTCAGCAGGGAAATACTGTCCAATAGAGTAAATTTCCAGTAGATTAGCCTATAAATAAATCTCCTAGTTTGTGATGTCGTTCTATTTAAGTAGACCATCAAGATCATTGCTACTGTTACAAAAGCACATAATTACTCCGCAGACATGTAGTCCGTATTCTTAAAAGTTACCTGAAATTGGTACAACTATAACACTTTTCATCTCTTTTCTTTATCATAATTTAAACACTTACTAATCATATGCAACATTGTAATTCTAATATTAGTTGAGTTTATTTCGCACAGTCTTTTGCAAACCAGTTGTCCTATGGCTCAAAATGGTTTCTTCTACTAAAAAAATAAAACAACGAACATGTTATGCTACATTTTTGGAGAAATAATTTGGAGAAAGTACTACATTTTGGAGAAATAATTTGGAAAAAGTACTACATTTTTTTCCCTTAAAAAAATGGTTGTATACCTTCAATTTTCGCTCAGTCTGTTCATAAGAGAGAGCCTGAACCTTCAACATAAACATGGTTGCAGAATTGCAGGACGAATCAGCTCTTCAACGGTCCAGAAAGTGAAACCATCATCAGGAATCTGGAGCTCATTCCAATAATCTTCTGGTTCAAAATGTAAAGCTGAGAATGTTTTTTCAAAACTCTCACTTGCACATCTGGGATGACCCCTAGCTACAGATGCCTGCATAGATTCAAAGAATCAAACTACTAAACTTGACAATTATCAAATAGTTTCAATAAATAAAACTTGTCCAGAATTTTCCAATCATCTAATCTCGAGAATAGCTAGGTATGATGATAACAAAAAGAAACATAAACATCATTATGTTTTTCCTGTCATAAGGTACATGTTTTCCTTTGGCATGTTAGTCTATTTTATGCCTGATTTATGGTGGTTGAATAGCCAAAATTTACCAATGTGCCCAACAAAAGAATAAAAGCCAGTAGTGCATCAAATAGTCTATATTTGAGGACCGAAATGAAGACAATCTAAATGAATTTACCCAATGGTGCTGATCAAGCTCAATATGCCAGAATCTCCAATCTCTAGATTCCTCACCATCAATGCAAACAAATATGTTGGTCCAGTTATTATGATTAAATTCCAACCTATGCAACCCATATCCAAGACCCGCGCCGATGGCTTTAACAAATGCCTCCTTCAGGGACCAGTACCTACATGATAAAGTAGAACATAATATGAGAACCACGACACATAAACCAGCTGTTATGCGAATTTAGAATAAGAAAAAGCCAAATTTTACAAAACTGAGCAAGAAATGGCAGAGAGCAAGTGCATTTCTAATTATTTCTCAGAAGGTTTTGTTAAATACTAGGAAGACATATGTGCATATAAAAATCAAATGAGTTCATTATGTTTAATCAAAAATGAAATTTTTTCATTCAATCATGTGTCTTGAAAAGTGTGGCCACGCAATCAATGTCTATCATCGTACCTGGATATAAATGATAAAAATAAAGTATAAATATTTGTCATCGCACCTGTAAAATGTGGCCAATGAATCATAAGGGTTGTTGGATTTCATAATGTCAGTCCATTCTAAAGTTGTGAAATGTGATGAAAAATTGTTCATGAAATCGATAACAGTTTCCTTGATTGGCATGGAATCAGAAACAATATCAAAGCCCACCAAGAATGAAGGTTCTGATGCTATGCCAACATAGTTCCCATGATGAGATGCGTTGAAGTTGAAATTTGGGAATAATGCAAGGTCTGCATTTGGCTGCAATGAATTCAAGAAAAATTTTCAAAATGAAGAGAATAACACTTTCAATGTGAAATAGATAATATAGAAGAATTCGTTCGTTTTAAGAACATAACAGATGACAGTACTCACGCTGCCTTATTAAACTGAGAAAAAAGGAATCACATTCCTCAATCCCATTAATTATTTTTTATTTAGATGATATGCATTTCCTTTTTCACTCTTCCCACATTTCCATTCTATTTCATATGAAAAATGATTCAATGAAGAGCTTATATATATATTGAACACATTTATCATATTAATTTAGCCAAACATAATTAAACATAAGCTTGAGAAAAAAATCATACCAGGTAAGGTTTGCCCTCAGCTGTTCGCTTTATTAATATTTTGTCGATTGGGATGCCAAAAATATCATGAACTAGTGTGTATTGAAGCAACCGACTAACAAGTGCCCTTTTCCTGTCTTCATACCTAATGAATCTGTTCCATTCTAAATGTAAGAAGATAAATATAATTGGTTGTATTAAGATCATCCACTAAAATGGCTTGAAAGCAATTCATAGTCAATACAATAAACAAACAAAATTTGTTCCTAGAGAAATAGGAATTCTGCTGGAATTCACTGGATTCCATATGGATGTAATAAAAAAATTTCAAGATATATGTTAAACTCCACATACACCGCAAATATAATTATTTCATTTGAACAAACAAGCTTAGGGCAAAAGAAATCAAAATAATGATGAATTAATTTCAGAAATGAGATTACATTCAACCAAATAAATAAAGAATATTAAATTCATAGATTCCCCCAACCGATTGGATTGAGTTAATTTAAGAATTAAAATATTCAAAAAAAAATCTTAATTTTTTTGTTCCTCCAATATTTTAATTGCAACTAACCAACTGAACCCTCAAACAATTTAAAACCAAGTTTAAAAAAACTAACATGAGCTACTTGAGACTTCATACTTGATTGCAAACATGATAAAACATGAAATATTCAAGTTCCTGCATACATTTTACACTCAAATATGGAAATGATGCTTTGCTTTTTCCACACAATTCCATTTGAGACTTCATACTTAATTGCATCGATGATATAACAAGAACTATTCAAGTTCCAGCATACATTTTACACACAACTATGTAAATGATGCTTTGCCTATTTGACATATACCATAGAGTATTCGACTCAAGTTTATAACAGATATCTAATAGTACGAGATCCCTTCCATAAACTCTTATCATATCATTTGCTTCACGAGATTATCAATCAAATGCAAAGTCATTCCATATTTTAATCCTTACATCTACTATAACAGGTAGAGTTGCACGTTTTTGATGTTGAGAAACCATTAATTGTTCAATATAATTCATTGTTGAGCATGATTCATAGAATACTTGGAATAACAAATTAGAAGCATAAAGGCTTGAAGTTATCAGTAGAACAAAGACTGAGTATACTATATGAAATGTGAAAGGGTATAATGTTTATAATTATTAATAAATATTATTAAACTATAAAGTGATATCTATATGTAAGAGGTTTAAATATCATAGTTCTATTGTTCAAACGAATAGGAATAAAGATGAGTGTACAGCTTCTACTGTTAAGACCAGATGAATAAAAGGGATAAGTACATCATAGATATTATGCAAGAAAAATATGTGATCTTTAAAGTTATGTATTATAAAAGTTTAATTAGATCGGTAATGGTATACAAATTTAAAATTGAACAAGGAAAAAATCTTTAACAGCTAAGTTGATTGTAATGAAAGCGAAAATTTGAGATGAATTTATGGAAAAATGAGGAATAAATAAGATAATTGAAAGTAGATTTGATTGGTTTGGAAACATGCATTTAAGGGTGAAAAATACACCCAGACAAACAAACAAAAAAATCTGCTGAAGGTCTAGGAAGCAGAAGAGGCAGGGTGAAGGTAGCATCATAAATAGAAATTGTTTAAGAGATTTGTAAATGATAGGTTCAACACTGTCCGCAATAATGAGTAGGAATCAATGAAAAATGAGAATTCATGAAACTGTTTCAATGATAAGTCCAATGATGATGATGAAGATGATGATGGCATGCAAACCAAATGTGATAGCATTGGATATTATGAAGGATTGTGGATAAAACATCTTTTTTGGTTCTCTCTTCAGCTCCTTGCACATTAGAGGTATCCCAAGGTTAGTTGTATCCAATGTATAATTAACCATTTCTTCTTCTTGTTTCCTTGTTTTCAATAAACGTATCACAGATCAACTTATTTCTGCTATTTACATAATTGCTATATTGAGTTTAAGTTTTTCAATTGAACTTAAGGTCATGATGGTGGTTCTGTAGGCCAAGCTGAGGAAGGTATTGTGAAAAAACTACAAGTAGAAGATAAAATTAGATATAGTAAAGCTTCTTATGAAAGTTTTAACAATTTATGGATGACTGTAGGCTCAAGAACAACTCTTGCCTAATTACTTAAGACGTTGGGGAAGTCAGGCCATGCCGTTGGGCAAAGAACATTAGGGATATTTGGGCTTTATATGCAAAACAATGCGTGAGAAAAATTTTGCCAACAGCTGCGTTTCTCTGTTCTGCCATACAACCCTAATAAAAAGAAAAATTAATTAAAAATAAAAAATAAAAAACAAACCCTCTAGAAGTTCCATAGCGGGAAGTTCCAGCAAGGAAGCTCCTTTGACTGTCCCTGTCTACCAAAACAGTTAAATCAATATCCTTGTTTACAAACAGAAGGCAAACTACAGAGATTCATTACAAAAAAAAAGTTGGAACTTTTTTTCACCTAGGGTGCCTCAAAAAACAGCGCCCTCAAAGAAACATACAAGGCCTGGGATTCAAACTTCAAAGATTCAAACAATCCAAAGAATTCAATGCGATGAGGAAGAGATATTGAAAGGTGATTGCTTTAAAGTTAATTAATTTAAAAAATAAAAAACCTGTTGATGGCAGAACGCTCGTGCGGCGGAAAGAGACAGGCAAGGGACGATAAGTGATCCTCGGAAGGATTCCAGGAGGCAATATTCACGATCCACCTCTTCATCCCTTTCTCCATTTCAAGTGCGTCAGTAAAAACACGAAGGAAACACCAGAAATTTACTCTTATTATCGAGTTGGGATAGTTTCCAGCCAGAAATCCTAGTAGAGGACCATAAATAAAAGAAGTGGAGTTCTTACAAACACATCACAGACATTCGAAATGTTAAATTTGCGTATTACCCATCCCCGAAATTGAGCAACATCTTATAAATCATTCCTTGGCACCCGTCGATATCTGTATAAAAAATTGTTGGCAATGTCATTTCCCCGTCAACCCCACACTAAGCACCAAGCTCAGCTCTCAGATGAGCCAGCAAAAAAAAATAATAAAGATGAAAAAAATTAAGTTAAATTAAATACACTAATTTTGAAGCCACACGTATGAGACTACAAGAAGTCAAGAAGTGGTTCAAATTTCTGAATAGTGTGGGTCCTAATACTAGTCCTCTAGGATAGTCAATAGAAAAGCTATCTGGCTATAACCTAGGCTTCTAACAGAAAAAGTTAGACCTCGTCAAAAAATGAGGTCAACAAATAGACCTCCAACATGTGTGGTGTGTTGGACTGACACACCGCACGTATTGGTATTAATCGAAATAATCAACAAAACCAACACAGTTGTCTAAGCCAACATACTTAGAACATGGTCGAGAAAGATTTCAAAATTGAGCAAACTGGGCTCAAATCGAAAACGTAGGAGAGTTTATGCTAGAGAAATGGCAGATGTGTTTTCGAATTGTAGCCTTAGATTTGAACTTTCAAACTTTGAGTGAGATTTAATTTAATTTTCTTTGTTTTTTTGCTTGATTTTGATTTTGATTTTTATTTAGTTTTGAGAAGGGAGTAGGGTGAAGGCTTATCTCGAATGTTGAGTGCTTTGATTTCAATTTCAATTTTGTGCTGAGAAGGGAGTATGGCGAAGAGCTATACCGAATGCTAAGAAGGAGTAGGACGAAGTCTTATCCGAATGCTGAGAATTTAGGAAATTATGGTAAATGCAAAGTTTTGCAGAGATTTTGTGAAGATTTGTTGAGATTCGTGAGTGCAGAGATTGAAAATTTTTGTTGAGATTTATGAGGAATTTTACTGAGATTTGGTTTATGCAAATATTATGAAGAATTTTGTCGAGACTTAGTTTATGTAAAGATTATGAAGAATTTTGCTGAGACTTGGTATATGCAGGAATTTGTGAAGAATTTTGTTGTGATTCATTTATGCGAAGATTGTGAAGAATTTTGTGAAGTGCGGAATGTTTGTAGAAGTTCTTGCAGCGTTGAATTTTATTGACATGTCTGTGCAGAGATTTATGAAAATTTATGAGATGCAGAGTTTTGTTTTGATGTTGAATTTTATTTTGTTTGAAGTTGAGTTTTATTTTGTTACATTTGTTTTAGGATTTAGACCCAGTTTTAGACAATCGCGACATCTATACTTCTAAGAACGAGACTTTATCTTTGAAACATCACGATGTGCAATACTCCTTAAGTTATCATCCATTGACTGGAGACACATGCAGAAAATAACACATTCTTTAAGGTACTATAAGAATTATATTATTTCAAGTACACATAAAGATGCAATATTTCTAATGAGATCACGACTCAAGTGGCTGCAACTTTGTAGCTCCATTATGATAGTCGTCATTTCTTATCACTGATTTTGTGTAAAGGTTGTCCATATTGTTTTTGAGAAATTCTTTTGACGTTCTTCGAATTGTCGTTGGAGTTATATTTTCTGAGCATTGGAAGGTAAGACTTCAAAGCCGAATTTCCATTGATTGCTAATAACATAGTTTTTTTTTTAATTTCCCCCTTTTTAGGCCTAAGCAGACTGTTAAATTTCTATTCATGTGATTAAAATATTTTTTATTGTCCAAATATATTCTTGAGCCAATTAATATCCAACCAGAAGGCACAGGGTCATTTAACTTCTTTAGAGTATAATATATGAAGAACTTTTTTAAGAGGAATTTTTTAGTTTTATTAATTAGGGGAGAATTAAAACGCCAATTTTTAATTATATGCTCACCTCAAGCTTTTTCTCTGGGGGATTTTCACATATTCCTCTTTTTTGTATTATTTTTCTTTGCTCATTTTGTTTTATGAGAATTACTATATCTGTTAGAGAATATTTTTTTTAAAAAAATTTGAATGTCCAAACTCCCCTAATTAATAATTCTGAAATGTTTCTTAAGATGAATTCTGAGATATTATAATTCATCTAAAAGCTAGGACCAATCACATGACAGAAGATTAAAAAACTCGTGATATCCTTAGTCAATTACTCGTATTATAATCACACTATTTTATTTTGAATTTTGTTTAGGATCCAGTCAGAGTTCTTTAAAGTGGAGGACCTTGTTATTAGGGCATCAATTTCATTCTCCCCTGAAATCATAGTCTTATCAAAGTGTTGGAATTTTGTCTTGGATTACTTCTTTCTCGATTGTTTTGCTTATAAGCTTTGAACATTTTGTTAACCGTGCTTTCCCAAACATTGAGTAATTCTTAAAAAACAACAAGTTCTTTCCTTTTTCTTTTTTTTATTGTGGTAGGATGGATGGGATAGGCAAGAATTGCCCCTGCTGATATCCATTTAACAACAAAAATAGTATAATAGTAGTCAAGAGGAGTTCCATCCATTGTTAGTTGCGTAAATGGATCGACTGAAATCATATTGAGAGAACCTCTTTTAGGTTCCCTTCAAAAATTTCTCTGAGATCACTATATTCCCATTCTTGAAGTTTTTCTCGAGCCAATCTTTGAAACTGATACAATCCTTTATGGTGCGCTCAAGCATTTTGTGATATGATATCTGGGGTGATCTTTCCTACCGACCTCGTTCGACTTCTTTGGTTCTGGTAATTTGAACCTGGGCTTTTTGACCAGATATTAGAATATCTTTGCTACAGTCTCATCCTTAAAGGGATATTCTTTGTTTAACAATTTTGCACAGGTGGACGCTGCCTTCCATCTATCCGATATGGCCTTCGTTGGAATGACAGTTAACCGTGTTGTTGATCGTACTGCTGCAGATGTTGGTCATACTGCTGTGAATGCTGGTCATACTGTGACGAGAGCTGTAAATTGTATTGTGGCGGTGGCTTTGTCAGGATTTACATCGGTTGCTTACCCTTGTCAACTGTTGTCACTGTCCCTTATCTCTTTTAAGATATCTTTGTTAGCTTTGACCTATCCTCCTTCTCCAGAAATTCAAGTTGTTTGGCCTCCTCTTGCAAGCTTGTGGCTTTGCTAAGTAGTTTCTCGAAAGTCTTGTATTACACTTTGAAAATCAAAAAAATATTTATATTAATTTATTTAAAAATTTAACTCGCATACATATTGCTTTCTTTTTTACTTGTATTGTTGTAGTTTAAGAATATAAATATTCAATAACTTGTTTCACTCATTATTATTTTAAACTAACTTTTTAAGTTTATTAAACGATTAAAAGAGGAATGATAGATGAGAAAACGTTTATAGAAGATGCAAACAACCAATAACTAGGTAAAATTAATTTTATTGTTTTAATTTAATTTAATTTGTGACTTTTTCTTATGATGAATAGTAACTGAATATAGAAAACTTAGTTCCTAACTTTCGATTGTTTCTTCTCATCTTGGCTATTTCCAAGCTCTGGGTTGACTTGTTACACCATACGTGTCTATTTGCCTTCTCTAAATGATATGCTGATTTTACAAGCATAATTAGACTCTCATAAGACCTTACAATCACTCTTCACTTCACTCTCACTTGATCTACGTTCCTCTAAGTTCCCTCTTCGTCGAATGCCTCTAAATGTTGAACCCCCCTCTCCATCTTCAATCTATGTTTTTTATCCTTTACTTTCATGAATCAACATGTGTGAACCGTTGAAACCAACTAAATACGTGAACTAGCGCTTAAGTGTTGGTATGTGGTGCTTAGTCACTAGTTCCGAGTGCTTGAATGCCTGCAGTCCAACGCTACTTTCCAGCCGCTCGAGTTTTAGTGCAAGGGTTTTGGGCGCCTAGGTGTCAGTATGTAAATACATAAGAATTGAGTGGAATAATGTAAATTTTCTGTAGAATTGTAAGTTTTATGTAAAATTATCTAAAATAAAATTATTTGTATTTAAAAGGACATTTCAACTCAAAATGAACTATTTTCAGGGTTCTTACATACATAATATTCAAAGCTTATTGGCATATTTCACACTTAAACTTCTATATTTATATATAAAAAAACATTTTCTAACTTTCGTTAATGGATTCCGTCACCAACATGTCATCTGGTTGAAGTGGCAGGATGGTCGGTGTAGTGCTGCTCATAGAACCATGAGGGAGGTCAGTACGATGTTATTTTGATTTTGTTGGTGGAGTGGGTGGCCAGAGGAGAGATGTTGAGATTTAAGAAAAAAAAGATGAGCCCCATAGATCTCGGTGGGGTGGCCAGTGCTGACAACGTGCAAAAGAGAGGGAGGGAGAGAGATAGAGATATTGGGTTCATGAACGGTAGAGGGTCACCAACGAGGCTTGTTGGCATGAAAAGGAGATGGGTTCGGTGGGGTGGGCAGTGCTGACAACGTGCAAAAGAGAGGGAGGGAGCGAGATAGAGATATTGGGTTCATGAACGGTAGAGGGCCACCAACGAGGCTTGTTGGCATGAAAAGGAGATGGGGCTGGCTGGGTGGTTTTACAGTGGCTGGCCGGGTGGTTTTACAGTAGGGAAGCAGGAGCAGCAGAGAGGGACAATTGCCAGTGTGCGTGGAAGGAAGAGAAAAGCGGGAGCTTCTATAGTTCTATTATCGTCTTATGAAAAAAAAAAAGAGAGCCACGTACAACTCTTTTCTATTGCGTCTTTTTGTATCAACAATTTTGTATATAAGAGAGAAGGGGAGCATGAGAGAGAGGTCCTCGGCCAAGAGATTATTGGAGGGCAGATTAGAAAAGAAATCAATTAAGGGAAGTTGAAAAAATATTTTTTTTGTAAATCTAAAATTTTTGGGTGTAAAACATATTAATAGGTAAGTTTTGAATACTATGCTTATGTATGATTAGAAAAGCAGGATATTTAACTGCAAATCTCCCATCTACCCTTGAGCATGAAACTGTACGCACTAGAGAGCGCAAACCAAGGTCCCAAATCGACCTCCGATGCTCTCGAAAGCTTTCCGCAAAGCGGCAGAGTTCGCAAAAGCGACGCCGATCACTAGCGCTTGCCGGAAGCTAGTGAGCTCCTTCAGCGGAGTGCCGACTGAGCCGGCCGACGCGGTAGTTATCGGCGCCGGGGTTGTTGGGCTTGCGGTGGCGCGAGAATTGGCGCTTAAGGGGCGAGATGTCTTAGTTGTGGAGGCGGCCTCGACCTTCGGCAGTGGGACAAGCTCTCGAAACAGCGAAGTTATCCACGCCGGGATTTACTATCCGCTCCAATCCCTCAAGGTGACACACTTCTAGCTAGAGTTCTTATAACCTGTTCCTTTATTTACTTGCAAATTCGCTATACACTGAAATTTTTGCTCATTTTAAAAGATTCATAGGAATTTACCGCTCTTTTCCCATTATATTTATAAAAGAATTATGAACTTCGACGAAAGAAACAGCCGTTTCTGAAATTGATATGATTTTGAATCATAGTGAAATTCTGCTTGAAATCAATCACCCGATTTAAATATACCTACCGTTGTTACATGTAAGAAACAGCTTTCGTATGGGAAACTGCATAAGGAAGATTTACATACATAGCTTTCAAAATATTTAATTTTACATATTTAACATATTTAACAGCTAAGCTTTGTTATTTGCTTCTAATGGAGTCAAAGGATCTCAAGGAACGAGACGGATTGCCTTTGCTGGTAGTGCTCCTTTTGGCAGTGGTTCGCCAAATCTATTGTAGGCTGCTTGGAGGCAATGGTGACATTGTGGTATTCACATTCTCATAGCCATGACTTTGGAATGCATAGCACATTAAGGGGCCATGAGAAGGTTGGGTGATGACAAGGTTGGTGTGCATAGCACATTCATCTTTATCTTTCGTGATAGTGGCAGTTGAGGTGATGACAAGGTTGGTGCGCATAGCGCATTCATCTTGACCTTTGGTGATAGTGGCGGCGCTAGCTTTGCAGTTGCGGGCACACTGGCGAATGAGCTTATGAGCTTGTGATGTGTGAAGGGCTGAGGAGATGGTGATTGAGGAATGCATGGTGTGATTGGCGGTGACATAACCAACGGCATGTGTAGGGCAATTGGACTAGGGCGGAGGATGATAGGATCATGAATGGCAATGGAGTTGTTATTTCTTATTTAAAATATTTTGAGTGCTATATAAATATATATATATATATATATATATATATATATGAAGTTTAGGTGTTGAATCATGTAATTTTTTCAAGTGCTATGTAAATTTTCCAAGAAATAAAGAATGTGGTGCACATGATCTTTATTTAAAAATTTTGAAAAAGAAAAATCGCAGCGCATTACACAGTGGAAACACAGTAAACTACGTGGACGTGAGACAAATTTTAAATTGTGCTTATTTATAAGTTATATATAGGAGGAAGCACTTGAAAATCTAAATTTGCGTAGTAGGCAAGTTGCTTGTTTGACATGCAATTTGTTTGAAGCCAATGATTCGCTTTGGATCGAGCCAATCATTATTTAAACCGAAATAACCCATAACGTATTTAATAATAAGATTTAAACAATACACATATCAATCCCCTTTTTTTCAAGGTTTTTTACACAAATTCTTTTATCTAGAAATTTACACTTTTTAGCCAATTTTGAGAAGATAGATATACTACTCATAAAACATTGCTTAGTTTGATTTAACATGTTTAGAGTTTTTGTTAACAGAAATTTACATAAATATTTTAAAACAAAAACATACGTGTTACGTGGATCATTTAAAGTTTAATTAAAAATAGATGCTTGAGCAACATATGACTTATGTTTAATTAATTATTGACTTGGATCAAACCCAATCATTGGATTCATGCTAGTTTCTCGGCATGGGTTCTTCTTAAGATTTATATTTTCAAGAGCTCATTCCTAGATATAATCGTACATAACATCCATTTTAAAAATTTTCCATGTATATGAATTATAAAAGGCCTCATTTTCTTGAACTTTGAGGTGTCAATATTAATCAAGATGAAGTTGATTGTTTCTAGTATCCCTGGTATGCAATAAGGCTGAATATTACCTAATGGGCGTGTAGAAATGTTTTGGAGGCTATTCAGAATTGCTTGGCAACTTATCCTCCTGGTGCTGAAGACAACATTACCTTAAGTCGAAGGATGAAGCAACACTTGAAGGTCATGGAAGCTACTGCGGTCCCTCCGCTTGAGGTGAGGGCAACATAACCTATAAATGACGAAGAAATCTAAAAAAGTCATATTGGCCATGAAGGATGATCGGGTTAATCCCCTCCTGGAGGTGAAAGTGATGTGATTTGGAGGTGGCATAGGTTGGTGGATGGTCATTGAGGTTGGATGTGTTTGAGAATAGAAGAGCGGCCATAAAATAAATTTAGGTAGTAGTCTGAGCTTTAAAATTCTCTGTTATACAGCATGGTTGGTTAAAAATATCTTATGATAATGCTATTTGTAAAGGCTATCACACCACAAAACGGGGTTGTTTATTGTACTTCGAAGAATTTTTAGTTATCTTTTATATCTTGTGCGTGTTTTTTGTGATCAAAGGAATGCATGTAAACTGTGAATACAAAGCTGGTGGGCTGGGTTTCAGATCAATTGATAGATATATTGAGATTAACCTTATAGCATTATGGATTAAGCTAAGAGCTAACACTTCTCTTTGGGCCAATCTAAGGTAAGATATTTTAAGAACTCACACCTAAAAGCTGCTGTGCTTACGCATGCAGATTCAAAACTATGGACTGAATTACTCAACATTAAATCTAGAACTGAAGATTTAATTGTGTGGGACCTGGGTAAAGGGGATATCAGTTCTTAGATGGATGATTGGTCTTTATTTGGTTCTCTTGCTCAATTTCAGAATGGCCTTCTCAATGCTGATTTGAAGGTGGCTGATTTTTGGGATAACAATAACTGGAATAGACAACTACTTTGCCAACATTTGAATCCTGATTGGGCTAAGATTATTGATAATATTCCAGTGGACAGTGGTAAGCCTGATCGTATTAGAATTAAAAATCTGTTATTAAATCAATCTTAAAGGCTATTGATCAATGCTTCCCAAAAGCTGCCATCTTGCCTTGGGGGACAAAATCTGGAATCATTCTTAAAACCTTCACAATCCTTTTTTAGCGGGAGACTTCATTATTAGCCACTTCCGACTGATGACATTCTCAAGTTAAAAGGCCTAAGGTTCCATATGTCATTTATGTAAACAGGAGGAAAAGAGCTTACCACATGTTTTTTTTCTCTTGCACATACTCAATCCAAATTTGGCAGAATTTACAAAATGTATTTGACATTTTTATGCCACTGGAGGGGTACATATCTCTGGATCAAAGCTTTGAATGCTGGAAAATGCAAGAATCTGATACACATTTGCAAAGCCTAGTACGATACATTATTTGCTGGTTCATATGGATGACTAGAAACAACAACAAGCATGAGGATAATCTATACTCTGATTTTTATAAAAACCTTTTTAAAAAAGGGAATATCACTTTCTCCAAATGCTTACAGAAACATTCAGGGGAATTTATCTGCAATGGCATTATCAGAAAACCAAATACTGTGAGATCTAGCAGATTAGTCCAATGGTCCAAAGCCACACTTCCTTACATCAAAGCCAACATTGATGGTAGTTTCAAAATTATTCATGCTAACTTTTGGTGGTTTGTTTTGAAACCATGTTGGTCATTGCCTTCTTCAATTTTCTGCACCCTGCATTCTAACTTCTGTCATTTATTCGGAGCTCAAGACAGTCCTTTATAATTAAGTTGTTACCCATAAGTTGAGGTGGAAATTTTTGCACATTGAAATTGACTCTTTACATACTTTCAACATCTATTGTGGCTTAACTACTTACCATTGGTATGCTCTAATTATTTGGAAGAAAATCAGTGCCTTACTCCCCACCTTTCACATCAAGTGGTCTCATATCTTGAGGGGATGCAATCAGCCTGCTGACTTCCTGGCTAAAAGACTCCATCTCTGTTGATGTCCAGCAGGATTATTTGCCTTGAGCTGATGTTACTCCACTCCATTATGACGACATATTGGATTTACCTCATATTAGAACATTTTTTTCTTAATTTGATCTGCAAAATATATTCGTGTGTGTTTGTGTGATTTTTGTTAATCAAGGTCGAACTATGTGTGTGTGTGCGCACACGCTCATGTGATTATTGTTAATCAAAGTCGAAATAGTCCACTTCGCGCGCACACGTGTGAGTGTGATTATTTTTAATCAAAGTAGAAATAATTCATTTGATAATTTTCTTTTATTCTTATATTCAAATGATGATGCAATTATAATTTAAAATAACAATTTTGTTATTTGCTAAATACAATGTTTCATTATATTAATATTTTTTAATATTTAAATTTTTAGATTTCAAAGGGTAAAATAAAGTTTTTACAAGAACAATGAAAATTTATCAAAAACTAACTATGATGTCATTTAATTAGTATTATATAGATTATAACACATTGTTTGTTAAATAACAATCATGTTCACAAACAAAAAACGAGTTAAAGTTTGCTCTTGTCATTTTATATAAATAAGTATACATGAATTAATCTTATAAAACAAGCCTTAAGTTGTTCACATGGTGCTAGTTTTTTTATATTCCTTGTTTTAGTTCATGCAGCAATTAGATTAGTTCTAGCCAGCAGTTCATGTTTGGGGAGAAATGTAATATTTTGACCGCTGATAGTTGGATGAGTTTATTTATTTATTTATTTATTTATTTATTTTTCTTATGTCAATCTTCTAGTGGTGGTGTTATACAGGCAGTTCTTTGTGTCAAAGGAAAGGAATTGCTCTACAAGTACTGCTCTGATAGAGGGATTCCACATAAGCAGCTTGGCAAGCTTATTGTAGCTACTAGGGCTTCTGAGATTTCAAAGCTGGAGCAAATTCTGAAAAGTGGGACGGAAAATGGGATTGAGGATTTGAGGATGATGGAAGGATCTCTAGCCATGGAAATGGAACCGGAACTTCACTGCATTAAAGCTTTGCTGTCTCCTTCTTCTGGGATTGTTGATTCACACACATTCATGCTCTCCTTGGTGGTATTTTCAATTCCAGTTTACATATGTTGGATTTTATTTGTCTTGGACATGTGAAGAAGGAAGCCTATCTCCATTAACCGCATGCTAGAAAATGGTTAAAACTGTGCTCTAAATTATTAAATTACGAGCATTGGCTGTTCTTTGCGATATTTAAATTCCAGATTCTTAATTCAGGACCCGAATTTCTCACTTTTGGACAAGTTTGGATATTCGTTGCCAAGCTTCAGGATTATGTTTAGTTTTTATTAATTTTACTCTACATGCCCTCACAGTGGGAACCATTTTTTGCTACTTATGCACTACTTGTGATGGACGGCACCGAAATAGACATTTTCTGATTATTGGATATATTGACGCAGGGGGAAGCTGAAAACCTGGGGACTGCATTTTCTTATAATAGTGTGGTTATAGGGGGGCAAGTTGAGGGTAATTCTTTGCATCTCCAAATTTCGGAAAGCAAGGACCTTAAAAATCATGCAGGGGAGTCTGCTTTACAGCCTCAACTTCTCATAATCCCCAAGCTAGTGATCAACTCTGCAGGTTTAAGCGCTATTCATCTTGCAAAAAGATTTCAAGGACTTGAGCACAGATTCATTCCAGAATCCTATTTTGCACGTGGCTGCTATTTCACCCTATCTAATTCAAAGTCTCCTTTCAGTCACTTAATTTATCCAATACCAGAAGATGGTGGGCTTGGAGTACATGTTACATTGGACCTGAATGGCCAGGTCAAGTTTGGGCCTGATGTTGAATGGATTGATGATGTGGATGACATATCCAGCTACTTGAATCGGTAAACTATTTTTTTTTAAAACAATGAATTACTCTATCTATATGTGAATAACTGATAAATAATTTTTTTTTGTGTTTGTTTTTCATTAGCAATGGTAGTTTGAATGTAAAATCCTGTTAATAGCTTATACGAGATTCTTATTATACAAGCTCACATCCTGATTTGTATTTCACTTGAATGTATCTTTCAAGAAAATATGATTCCCACTCCCCGAAAGAGCTGAAATATCTCAGAACGTGATGACTAAAAGAGAATGCAATTCATCATAACTATAATATATAACATTTTAATTTGGAGTGAAAGAAAACATGACAATTCTAAACTATACCTTTATGGGCTTTGAAAATTTGTGCCTGGCTCTTGTGGGAGTTACGTATTCCTAGTCTAAATTTTGAAGGTAGATTGAATTTTAAATTAGACAATACTTAGAGATTTTGTTCTTAATTTATGAGTACTTTGTGATCTTGTTATGAGGTTTCTATATGTGCCGGCTCTTATGATTGATTCACTCTTCTGATATGAGAGATAAGTTGTGAGAAAAGCTAGTTAATAGATGCAAAATACATAGCATATGGTAGCAACCGTTTGATTTTAGGATAGGAAAAATTTATCATTGCCAGCTTAGAGCACATGGTTGGGGAAATGTCTCAATCAAGATTTTATGGTTATGTCATCCTAGATTTTCATTAATTCTAGTCCACATAGTTAATAGAGGTAGTTGACTCATCCTAATTGAAGGATTATTATTAGCAGTTATAAGGGAGGACCTTGTAGAATTGGTGTGAAGGTTTGCCTATGGGAATGATTTTATATCGCTCTTAGCTAATAGAGGACTTCTTGTTCATAGTTCAGCATTCTGGGAAATTAAGCCATTGAGGAAATTATAGACTTTGGTTGTAATTATAATTTAATGGTATTACTTTGTGGCAAACTGTTTTGTTGGTGGGCCCCAATGATGGCAATGCTTTTCATGGTGCCATTTGGCAGTAAAATCATACTGTTAGATGACATGCCACATGTTTATTGCTATGCTCAATATGACAACTCTTCTTTTTGAGTCAAGATTAATTTTAATTTTACTGATTGTTATACAAGTTAAATAAATAGTTGTTTCAAGCTTTAGATGATATATTTTTCTTGAATATTTTTGTATTATACAATTTGTTATGAAATTTTATATTTTTATGAATATTTGGGCCCAATAAAGTTTGTATTGGAATGTAAGGGCATTTGATGATTAGATCGTTTTTGATTGATATTTTTTGTCGATCCAGCGATCATTGGGTTTTTTTAAATTATTGAATGTTGCTTCAATTTACTAACTTTTTCCTCTTACTTACGGAGGATCGGGTTTGTAATTGACGTATGGCTTGGACTCATTTTTAAAATTCACTGAGCTATAAAGCTTTTCACATCTAATTTTAATGTAGAGGATAGGGTTTAAGAGTTAAAACTTGTGATTGTATCTTTTAGGCATGATGTTGAGAGTTTGCATCTTAAAAATGGATTTTTTTGTTTAAAATGGCATTGAAGGTCACGTGCAAACATAAGACAAGTTTTTGTGAATAAGAATTCAATTTTCAACCTTTTTATAGGAGATTGTTGGAATAAACTGTGTGGAGACGAATTACAATCATTTTTTAATATAAGTCATGCTGACTCTAGTACTTTTGATGTGGAGGATTGGATTTGCAAAGAGGGATTTACAATCCTGTCCTACGTGCAAAGTGGCCAACAAGAGAATGTGCATAGAAAGTGTTGAGTTTGAGGTTTGAACTTTGAGAAAGAGTTTGCAAAATTTCACATTTTTTCTAGATAGGCCAAATTTAGATTCATTTTGCTTCTTTAGGGTATGCACAGCATTCTTTTATTTTAAATTTGAGTGCTTACTTTGTCTATCAGTGCATATGTATCTCTTGGAATGTATGCACGCTTGTCATAATACTTGTATGATTTCCAATACACTTACACAGTGTAATCACATACTTTTAGGTGCATTTGAGTAATTTTTGATGCACCTACACAATGCATTTATATGATTTTTGGTGCGCTTACATAATGTATTATTATTGCGTTTTGAGGTGTAATCAAATTTGAAATTTGTCTTGTGGTATATATGTAAATCCTCTTTTAGTTTCTTAGGCTTTCAATATCTTGAATTTAAATATTTTTTTTTGGTTGAAGTGATACAACAACAATAACAACAACAACAAAGCCTTAATCCCACTACGTGGGGTCGGCTACATGAATCCTTTTTCTCCATTGCGTCCTATTTAGTGTCATATTTGTAGGCATAACGTCCAACTTTTGCACAATTGCATGTGAATTAAATTATATCAGATTTTTTTTTGGAAATTTGATAGAATTTTTCTTAGAAGATAAAATTAATTAAAAAAGGTACAATAATCATTTTTAAAATTATATATATATGTGTGTTTGTGTGCCGCCAGTCGTAGCCTGTTGATAGAGCAACCTCTTTGAAGGTCGTGAGTCCCCTCAGGTTACGGGTTCGAACCCCTCCTTGGCTAGTTTGCCGCTAGTGAGGGTGGTCTTTGAATAGTTAGGCACATGAGCGTGGTTGGATGCTCGTATAATAGCCTCTGACCATTCTTATATATATATATATATGTGTGTGTGTGTGTCTGTATAATAACCTCTGACCATTCTTATATATATATATATATATATATATATCTGTGTGTGTATAATAATTTATTTTTTTTGTATTTATATTTATGTATTATTTACTTATTATTATTATTATTATTAATTTTTTAAAAGGAAAATTTATAGGTTATTTGTCGATTCTCCTCGAATTTTAGTTGCTAGCACATATTAGAATTGCCTTTATCTTGTGTTTTGTCATATTTTCTATTTTCTATTTTGTATTCATGTTGCCACGCATGCATCGTGGGTGTTTATTTTCAAAATTTTTTAACATTTTCGATACATTGACATAGTCTGTTTTAGGAAATGGGTGATGTTCAGATGATTTAAGTTGCAATCAAGGTGTTACGATTCCGTCTTCTGCAATACTGCACCTTCATACTTTATTTTTTTAACATTTGATCAGGTCGACTTATGGAGCGGGTATTGGGGTCAATAGTCTCTGACATTTTATATTAATTATAATAGCAGATTGAAATACTCCAAATAATCAAAGTTGAGATCATTTTTTTATGGATGGAAATAACATACTCATAGAACATATATCAAGCGCATGGTTTTAAATTGCATGATATGAGGCCTGTTCTAACACTTTTTTTGAAAAACTTACAGTGAGGTTTGTCTTCATTGAGCTTTACATGAGACTTAGGGTGCGTTTGGGGCAACTTTTGCGTTTCAGGATAAACAACTTATCTTGAAACGCGGCCCCGCGGCGTTTTCAAAAACATTGCGTTTAGTGTAAAAATGCAACCGCGTTTTCGGATAAACGGGCAAAACACACGATTCAAACGGTACCGCGACGTTTTCAAAAACACCCCGCACTTCAAACTGCCTCAAACGGGCCCGACATCAGCTTCATTGAGGCGTGTGTGATTAGATTTAAGTTTTTTTAAAAATAATCATGCAGTAAAATAAGCCTCATAATATTTCTTACTTATTTATACAATACACAATTGATGATGCAAGTAAATTTGTTATTATCAATATATTCATTGTTTTAAATTCTAATAAATATTGTTATTAATTTATATTGACTAAATAAGCGGAAGCTGATTTATATTTAAGATGAGAATGAATGAGATAACATCGATACATTTGAGGATGAGGTGAGGGAGGCAAACAGTAAGTGATAAGAATAATGAGGCCTTTTGAATTTAGGAATTCTAACATTGATGGCTTATTATGTTCCTTCTTTGAAGGATGACACTAGGAATGTAGGATAGACTATTTATTTGTATCTAATCTATTTTGAATTGTTATGCTATTACGTCTTTGATATTTATATAAGTTTTTATTTTATGATTTATTATTTGAATGTTTCATGTCACTTCTTACTTTGAATAATTTATTACTTTTGTCATATTAGGATGTTAATATGTTACATTTTAACCTATTTATAAGTTAGAATGTCAATATACTACTTATTATGTACTTTGAACCTAGTACAATACTTATTATTTGTGCAATTCTTTAAACACCTCGAGGCTTATCAGTACAATACTTATTTGTGCAATTCTTTAAACACCTCGAGGCTTATGCCTTACTACACAGACAAGAATCACTTTAATATCTAATTGTGCAGTTTTAAACTTTGCTTTAAGCGTTGTGTGAGTATCCACTTTAATATCTTATCATCATGTCTAAATTTAGAATTCCTATTAATTTTTATGATGAATCAATGGAGCTTTAAAATTCACAGGCTAAATATTGAAGATAAGGCAAGTGATAAATTGATGATGATGAATATGGTTATGATCTTATTCTAAGAGACAGATACTTTCAAATAATTTTGTGTTCATTTTGGACACTTGTTGATACATCTTTGATGCCAGACAAGATTTTGACACACTCAGCATTATATTGCAATTATTTCAAGGTAAAAGTAGATTCTGATGTAAGTCAAACATGGCCTGTCATGATCTGGGCGTGGCTTGGCATGTCACACGGGCACACAAGAACAGCCTGCCCAGATCATGACAGGCATAAAATATATGAGACTTGGTAATGATCAATGAATGCTTATATTGGATTGCTGTTTGCCAATGACACTTGTCACGTGATAAAATATCTCTTATCATTGGTAGTGTTTCCTTTTTCTATTTGGTTATTGTTAAGCTTCTTTGTGAAGCTTATGAATATGCTTGTACGCTTCACTGGGTAATGATTTTAATGGAAATATTTATAAATTATATATTTTTATTAATAATTTATTAAATATAACATTGTGTGTGTGTGTGTATCATACTTTTAATAGTTTTCTTATGCTGCCGTAGCTGCAGTGGTATGTCTGTGCTTCATATATCGGGCTTTTTGGTATTTGGTTTGTATTATTTATATATTTTGGATTGCCAAGTGTTACGCATTACCAAGAATATTTTTATGATGATTTAATTGTCATGTCAGCCTTTTTTCCCCCTAAATCTTATTCTCTGGATTATATCTCTCATATTGATTTGACGTTACTGAAACCATCATCTCCATAGAACTAAATTAATTGCTGGATCTGGTCTAAACTTCAATATAGTGATCGTTTTTGATCTAACAGAACAAGCGGCTTAGATATTGAACCTATTGTTTATGATTGTTCCAGGTTTGACTATTCAGTGAACTCAGATCGATCAAGCAGGTTTTATTCTGAAATAAGAAAGTATTTTCCTAATTTGAGAGATGGATCACTCGAACCAGGATACTCGGGAATTCGACCAAAACTATCTGGACAAGGACAACTTCCTTCTGACTTTGTTATCCAGGTGCTCTCCTTCTGTCTATTTACATGGAAAACAATGGTGCTTTATCATGCATGTTTCTAAGAATTAATCCAAGCCAACAACTTGCATACATGTTTAAATAAGAAAAAAATGAACCTTTGATGTCATTTGTAGCTTTAGATGCCAAGGAAATTGAGCGTGTAGAACTATGGCCTATGTTAAGGAGATATTGAACGTGTAGAACTACAACCTACTAGGTTCATTTTGTAATCTTGCATCTTTCTCTTGAAAAATGTCATCACATATATATTTGATCCATGCATTATTCGGGTTATATCATTGGGTGGTCCTAGGCTAGCTCAATTGCTCCGTTTCTTTTTATTTTTTCTCTGTTGAATGACGTGCTATGGAACTGCCTTCAGAATTGGTTGATCTGAGAGTTGGTTATAAGTTGTCCATTTTTTAATAATTATTAAACAGCTTCGTTAGAAATAAAAAAAAGAAATTGGAGACAGCGCAGCTAACTGTGGAATTCTGAGGTGCGCTTGACAAACTTGACAAAATGATGTTTTTACCATCTATGGAAATTATATTAGTGAATGGTAACAGAACTAATTGGATCAGCGAAATATTATTTTCAAGTTCCTATACGTAAGAGAGTATTTACTCATATTAGCATTTAGCACTCAGCAAGCTTGAAGAAATTAATAACTGAAAAAAAAAATATATATATAAAAAAATTGATTAGGCTTATCTCTTCGGGTTTCGCCTTTAGGAGATGAGGAAGGAGCCCTTTCATTCAAAAGGATCGAGAGGATAGCGAGAGTCAGAGAGCGAGAAGGAAGAAGAATTAGAAGAAGATTGCGTCAATTTCATACTTTGCTGTCGGCGCTAGAGACGAGGAAGACGAAGCCATGATAGTGTGGGGAGGAGGAGAGGTGTGGGGCTTTCTTCTTGCAGCTACAAAGCCATTGAAGGCGTGATGGCACGAGGCACGAGTAGGATCCTGTGCGTGTCACTGTCGAGTGCAAGAAAATCATGTTGGGAGGGCAACCTGAAGCCTAGCATGTCTTCCACTTTGCATGCAAGCAGCGATGCTGTGAGTGGGAAGTAGCCTTGTGTGCGCATTGTATGCTAGGGGGGGAGTGGGAAGAATTGCGTGTGGAGGCAAATCGAATGGCTCCAGGAGGGAAGCTCATGCCTTCGCCGAAGGAGAAGGAGAAGGAGAAACAGAGCCACTTGCGGGAAGAAGAAATGAACGACGCGTGCATCGTGTAGGAATAAGAGGAAGCTTCATTTGCCGTTGAGCAAAGCGCGGCTTCGTGTGGGAGACATCTCAAGCGAAGCAGAAGCCTAGTGTCTCTTACGTGAGGGTTTGAGCGAAGGAGTAGGAGAGGAGGCTTGTGTGCGGGTAAGGGTGAGGCCGAACCGAGCCTTAAGTAAGCGAGTTTTAATACTTTTAGTTAAGTTATTTAATAAGAATTATATATATATATATAAATATGTAAGTTTATATTTTAAATGTTAACTTGAAGTGAATTTGAAATCAAAAATCAGATATGGAAGGCTTTTTGGATTGGAGCAATGGTTTGACGTAGGGCTGTCTAAGAAGCTCGTGTTAGGCTCGTTCGCTAAGTTAACGACCCCGCACCACAAAAAAAACACACAAAAAACACCCTATGTGGGTGGTGATCAATTTTATATATATATATATATATATTTGATGAGTAGTATTTTTAAAAAACTTAATTGACGACAAGGCTCTAAAGATTTATAATCACTTATAAGTATTAATTAAGGAAATAGAATAAAAATTATTAAATTAGATTCAAATTATATTTTAATATATGATTAGGGTTGTCAAATGATTAGGGTTGTCAAAACCTTTGTTCGTGAAAGGCTCGTGTTCGGCTCGCTAAGCAAACGAGCCAAACACGAACACACTTTTTGATCTTGAAATATAAACGAGCCAAACAGGAGCTGAGCTTGGGCTCGTTCGTGTTCGACTCGTTTACACCCCTAGTTTGACGGTAGTGAAGGAGATAAAGTTTAACTTCTTATTTATATAAGTTATTTTAGTTAAAATTTATTAAATTAATATTAACATTATGAATTAAAAATCCTAGATTGAGGAACTCTTGATGCAAAAAGGAATAGTAATTTTGGATTGAAAAGTTTTCATAAAGGAGAAAGAAGTGGTTAGAGATATGTTAATGATTTATTAATTGTTATAAGTGATTAAATGTTTAAATTAATATATACTTTGAAAATACTATAGATCTTAATTGAATGACAATAATAACTTATAGAAAATCAACAAGGTGATTAAGTGAAGGAATGAGCACATACAAAAGTCTCTTATTGGTCAAGTGAGTAATTATCTTTTTAAATTGCAATCATTGTCATTATTTCTTGATGTATGTTTGATTTTACTTATGATCTATTTCAATAAGATTTATATTACAACAGATTTTTCATAATATTATATAGAAAAATATGCATAGTAAATAGATTCATAATGAATATCCTATAGGGTAATTTGATTATTGAATATCATTTATATTATAGTAGAGCTACATATATATTAGGTTACATGATCTTTAGATTTAAGTAGAAATGCATATAACATATCATTATATGACATTTAGAAAACACTCGTGTACAAACAATTGCATAATGATTTATTTATGAAAGTATTAGACTGGTGTCTGTCATTTTGATTCTAGTAAATGTGCACTTATTCATAAGTAGATGAATTTATAAGAAAAGAATGTATGATATCAAAGAATGAAGTAAGGTAAATATGAATGCTTGCATGTGCATACTACGTGTTCACCACCTTATGGTTCGGGCAGAGAACGTCAGTTATTTTTCTATCACTTCAGATAATTGTGATGTGATCATTAACCACTGTACTGAGTGGAGAATATTGGTCAGCGGTGAGTTGACAACTTATCATTCCAGACAATTGTGATGTTTAGATCGCTAATAGCTGTGCCGACAGTATAATATCGATCAAGGGCGTTTTTAAAAATTTTTTGACGATGATCCTTAAACAGACAAATGTGTAAGACAACTTATCACTCCAGACAATTGTGATGTTTAGATTGCTAATAGCTGTGCCGACAGTATAATATCGACCAAGGGCGTTTTTAAAATTTTTTTGACGATGATCCTTAAACAGACAAATGTGTATGTTAAGAATATAAAATAAAAGTAAAGTTAAGTTTAAATCTTTAAGTGTACAGTAAAAGTAAATGCATATAGATGTTTTAGATTATTCTCATAGAGTAAATATCATAGACACGTATATTAGATTTTTATTAGATCTCATATAATAATATATGAATGACCAACTTGTATGTTACTTTCTTTTCCTTAGGTTACTGTAAATGTGATTGGTCCTGTGTTATCTTTAGATAATTCATTATGTTGTTTTAATATTTTTTTTTTCAGATTTTAAGTTTTTAAATAAGATGAATAGACGAAGAGATAATATTTACAGAAGGCGTGAGTGACAACCTGAAAGGTAACCTTTTTGTATTGTTAATTTAATTCAATTTATTAGTGGTTCTTTCAATTATATTTTTGATAATAACTATTAGTGATATAAATAAAATGACAGAAAACTGGAAAATTTATTTTCATCGTTCGACTGCCCATTCCCATCTTGGTTAATTCTAAGTCATGGGTCAAGTCGCGACAAAAGTGATATCAAAACGAAGGTTTAGACAATATGAATCTTAATGAAAGAGCCAATAAAATGATTGAATGTCTTATTTTAGGCGCAAGGTCAAAAGAAAATTTTAGTAATTTATTATTTATTATTGTTTGCTATACATAGGTCTTAATAGGATCATGATTATGTTATGTTATTGTTTTCTTGAATCATAGGGTTAGATTTAGGATTTAGAAGAGGTCGTTATCTCTCAAATTGTATGCGCTTATCTTTTTTGTATTCGAAGTTGTATTACTTTAATTTTATATCAACACAATTAATTCTTTTATTTTTACACTAATTTCTACATAAATCTGTCTCGTTTCCTATGAAATTGCTATTAGAGCATTCAATTTATGGGAAGAGGCTCGCGGAGTAAAGGTTCGAACTTACGATTCTGACTGTATCACGAGCTAGCTAAGAAGATATGAAGGGATCGTAGTGTACAGGGTGGCTGGCTGGGAAGCAAATGACAAGATTGCGACCATACAACTGTTCCACTCTAAACCTAGAGATCGGGATCATATGGGAATTTCAAATCGATATAGTTGCACGGCGGCAAAGAAGGGATCGCAATGTATCACGTCGCGTCCTAGTGACCGAACCCTGTGATGTGAGAAGTTGAAAATGGGATTGTGTCGTTCTTATCTCGATTCGAGCCAGCTTGGAAGCCAAGATGGGATTATGGCTTACAACCTCCCATACAGTCGTGATTCATGCTACCTAGAAGGCTAAGGAAGGGATGTCAATTTGCATGATCTAAAACCCTCTTGGGATTAATGACGACCAAAAAAGTAGATGCTTTGGAGAAAAATTAGCGGAAGGGGTGAGTCAACTCTGATTTGGAATGGAGGAGCATTCTTTTATTGTGGTTGTTCAAGGGTGGATTCATGGCTCTGAAATAAAATGATAAAGAAGATTGCTAAGTTCCACACAAATTCGCTGCTGCCTTCAGTGGGATCGAGAGACGACATCGGTAGTGGATGCGAGCGTTAGCAACCAGAATGACTCACATGACATCAGACCAACTTCACATCTTAAGCAGATTTGGACCTCGGGTCAGGCGAAGAAATGAGGAGCGGATTCAAATGACAACACTCAAAAGGAATAACACTACATCCAAATGGCTGAAACAAGTGCCAGCAGACGGAATGGGATGATCTGTGATTATGGGCAGGAGGAAGTCGATTTGAAAGATTTTGGCTTGTAATAGGGAATCACTGTGGGTGGGACATTGGTAGAGGGTTGCATCCAATATGCCAATGCCTTTTGCTGTTTCTGCCTCTTGGGCGGAAGGTGATTTGAGAGCCTATGGGGATGTGCA